GAAAAGAAAAAATATGAGAAAAGGAAAAAAATGGAAACAAGGTCTTTGCAAATAGGGAAGGGTGGAGGGGGTGAAGGGAGGGCAAGTGAAGGGGGAAAAAAATAAGAACCAAGAGATTCATGTAATGGTACAAGATCCCAATGATGAATGTAACTGTATTTTATACCAAAAATGTACCAATAAAGTTAATGGGGGGGGCAGTACCACAATATTAAACACTGGCAAGTATATGGGAAAAACAGAACTCTGAAACATTGAAATTGGAAGTGAAATTGGTGTAACTGTTTTAGAAAATTCATTGTTAGTATTTACTAAAGTAGAAAATCTGCATGCCCTATATCCCCAAAATTCCACTCCCAGATATATATGCACAAATGAAATAAGTTTATATTTGCATTAAAAATGTACAAGTATGGTCAAATTAGCTTTATTTGTAATAGCCCCAAATAAAAAAAACTTTCTAAATGTTCAACAACAATAAATTGCATAAATAGAGGTATATTCACATAATGGAATGTTATATAGCAATATATATCACACAGCAACATAGATGAATATTGTATATATATACAAACATGTATATGTAATATGCATACACATAATGTTGAGTGAAATAAGAAGAAAAATAAACACTATATGATTTCATTCATACGAGTTCCACAATACTAGCTTATAGTAGTAAATCTCCAAAACTAATAATCTGTTGTGATAATAGGCACCTTTGTGGAAGCTAGTGGCCAAAAGCTGTATGAGGGAGGTTTCTTAGATTCTATCTGGTATTATTTTATGGTGTGTTCATCTGTAGAGGTAATCTAGCTGAATGCCTAAGATGTGTATACTTTGAGGTTTGTATATTATACCTCAATAAAAAAATGTTTACTCCAAAAAGGTAGGTCCAAGGTATTCCAGAATATGCAAAATTAGAGAAACAAGAGTTGTGACAGCAATAGTGAACAAGGTGACATGGAAGTAAAGAACATACAATATGAAATAAACAATGATAACTAATGATAAAATTTGCTCTTTAAATGTAAATATAATTTTGAATATCAATATATAAAATAGCAATAATATCATTAAAGATAAAAACAGTAGATAACAAAGACAATGGAGAAACATAAGTAGTACAATATTTTAATTCATCTATTATCTGTGACAGGCTAAGTAATCAGACTATACTTAATGACATGGAAGTCTTAATAAAGTAACACTTATTGCTACTTAATGCTATAAATTTATCTTAACTGTTGTTCCAAAAAACATAAATTGTCTAACATAGAATAATGCTAATAAAGTCACAACTTATGAAAAACTATGTGATACATAATAAAGAGTTCCAAGGGAAATTTAGCATTAAATTCTTATATCAACATGTAAGAAAGAGAAAGCATAAAACAATTAACCAAATCCCACAAAAAGTTGAAAAACAAAAATAAAATATAGCAAATGAAGGTGGAACTAATAAAGATAAATGCAAAAATTAATAAGTTAAAAAATAAAATAAAATCTATTGTTTGAGGAACATAACTAAAATACATTAACTGTCAGCCCAATTAAAGAAAAATAGAATCTCAGCTTTTGTATCTGTTTGCAAAATTTCTATAATGAAATTATTTTTCTCTAGAGAGAAAGCAGCAGTATACAAAATAAAATTATAAGGCATAATTGACTTAATTGAGGGATACTACCTAAATGTTAAATAATCCCAATAGTATTCAAACTGTTAGGCATAAAGTACCTTAAATGAAAAGATTAATGTCTGGTTACAAAAACTTCTCAAGGAGAAGATGTCACAAAGTTAAAGGTTAAATCGAGAAAAATGTTCGGATCACATGTCACAATGAGATAATGTCTTTAACTTATGAAAAGATACAAAAATTGATATTAAAAAGGACAAATAATCCCATAGAAAATGGACAAAGTAAAGCATGGATGGTTTACAGACAAAAAAGATTTCAAGAGTTTTTAAACATATGAAAAGGTGTTCAGCATTACTTGTAGTATGTAAAAAGGTAAACTTTAGTAACACTGACATATCCTTTTTACATATTAGATGCGCAAAAATTTAAAAAATGATAATCAATGTTTGCATATTATTGCTAGGAGAAAAATCTTGCAAATCTTAAGGACAGCAATTTGGAAGTATCTATAAAAATTAGACAGGCATATACTCTGAAGCAGCAATGTTAACTAACTCTAATATTAGGAATTTATCTCATATATGTATTTATACATATTTAAAATGAGGTATGTGACAAAGTTGGTCAATGCACTATTATTTTTATATAGCAGAAGACTGGTAGCGAACTAAATGCCTATTAACAAGTGAAACAATGAAATTACAGTATATACATGCAATTCAACATTATATAACTATAAAAAAGAATGTAGACGTGCTTAATGTAATGAAACTGAAAGACAAGTTACATTGTAAAGTGAAACAAGCACACTACAGCAAAGTGCATAAAACAAGAAGCTAAATAAAACATTTTCTGTTTGTTTACAAATACAAATTTCCTAGAAAGATAAGTAAGAAACTAATAATATATTTTTCAAGAGGAAAGAAATAATGTGTGGGGACATGATGGGAAAGACAGTTCTATTCAATTTTTTAATGTTTAAACTATATAAATATATTACTATTCAAATTCAGATTATAGATGAGAATTTAAGGTGAAATTATATAAATGTGGTATAGGATACTACATTATATTTTATATTAAAGGTTTCTATGAGAAAAATATGATTTAAATAATATTTTAAGGAAATTGACTTTGCAACACGACAGGCAAAATGGATTGTAAAAGGGAGTTGGAAAGCAGGGATATCTGCTTGAATATTTCTGTGATATTCTGGGTATGAGTTGATAGTTTTTAAAATTAAGATGGTGCCAATGAGAATGCAAAAGGAAGAGCAAATGTATGAGGCAATTTTTAGTATAAAAATAACAAAACAAGGACTAAAATATGGTTAAAGGAAGCATTTACACAGTACACAACTTGGTTCTACATAGCCTAGTTTCCTGAAAAATAAGGATAAGGAATGAATAACTTTTAAAGGATGTAGTAAATTGAAAAAGTATTCTAATTCTAAATTAATTTCTAGAAGTCTAAATTCATGTTTTACAAAGACATTATTAATTTTTTATAAATTTGTGTTTTAAACAAATACTAATTCAATAAAAAGGAATTACAATCTATTGTAACCCTATAAAAAAGATGTACTATTTTGTATCAAAGATATACTTAATACTTTTGGTGCCTAAAAATTTATACACTTCTATAATTAATTATAGAAAAATCAGACTAATGCGATAAAATTTAAAAAGTAAGCCAAAATCCATCCCACTACTGAAAGATTTTTATTAAATCTTTTTTTCGGGGCTGGGGATTTAGCTCAGTGGTTTCGCTGCCTGCTGCGCAAGCGCAAGGACCTGAGTTCGATCCCCAGTACCGTACCAAAAAAATGTCTGTGTATATATATATATATATATATTTAAATCTTTTTTTCACACTTTAAAGATATCCTTAGGAATCTTTTCTCTCATTTATAAGTATATTTAAGGGGCCTGTATTTTGCCTTGATGTTTAATTTTATACCATATATTGTTTCTTTCTTTGTCAATCAATATGACTGTTTCAAAATGGTAGTCCAAAGGAATGGTAACATTAGCTCCTGTACCTATATTAAATATTTCCTACTAATTCAGCTCTAGTCACAAGATGACAAAGTTTCTGTATAATAGTACCCATTTTATTTGATATTTATTAGGTATTAATTTTTCTACAAAATAACGTTTTTTAAAAAAGCTTTTAAAAGTGTTGCACTCAGACTTCTGATTTTAATTTTATTTCGGGACAAAAATATTTAAAAAGCATTTATAGGGATATCTCAGTTGTCAAATGGCTCCAAGCTCAAACTATCCACTATTCAAACAGCAAAATTCAAGAAAAATCTGCTCAGTGTTTGTAACTTTGCATGACAGTCGAACCAAACATCCGATTTGAATAAAGTTGTATGGGCAGACAGTGAGTGAACTACATGCTGCATCTCACCAGGGAAACAAAGGTGTGAGGCTTTAGTGCTGCTCTTGCTCAGACAACATATTTGTTTAGTGCTTGTGTTAGTGAATAACATTCGTTATTGTGCTTTTTTTTTGGAACTTTATTCGTACAAGATATTGTAACCATGGCTCCAAAGAAAGTTAGTGATACCAGCGTAAAGCTAAGAGGAAAATGGAGATCTATGATACAGTTAAAGAAAGAAATCTTTGTGAAATTTGTTTAAGTCGTGGAAAAATGAATTTATAAGTGTAATTTTTCGGCCTTAGAACTAATTATTTGATTTTCCATTATTTGGTATGGGAAAAAAAGATATGTTCATTTCTTGAACTTTTTGTATTCAAATGCGAATTTGGAACGAAATGAGTTCAATAACCAAGATATCAATGTATTTCTATCCATTTCTGGAATCAGATTTATTGTTAAATTTCACAAACTGAAATATAACTACTAAAACTATGAATTTCATATCATAAAAATTATAAAAATAAAGCAATAATTACTGCAGTGAATTACCAGGAGCTTGAAAAATACCACTCATGTTTACCTGAGGTGGGAGATTTACAGCGTTCAAGTTCCAGGGGAACTGGACTGTCATTCAGTTCAGTCAAACCTGAAAACACAATGGCATAAAACAGGTAATTAAATATGGATGGTAGAAAGATATAAAAGCCCTTTATTATTTTCAAATGAATTAGTTACTTTAAGAAATGATCTAATTTCATCAGAAAATAGATTAAGACTAATGAGAAATATAAGGGGATTTTAAAAGATACAATAAAACCCTCCACTTCAGGATAAAAGGTTATTGGCTTTTAAAAGACCTTTCAAGAGGGCCAGGAATGTAGCTCAGTGGCGCCGTGCCTGCCTGGTGAACACAAGGTCCTGAGTTTGATCCCCAATACCAAAAAAAAAAGAGATCTTTCAAGAGATGCCCAATTCCCAGTACCATAAAAAATAAGTGCTACAAATTTTAAATTTCATATTTATAAAGGTGCAGTATTACATACTAGGTGATATGTTCAATGGTATAAACTTCTTTCTTATAAAAAGGACATTTATTTCTATTGAGAAATAAGAGATTTCTAATTTCTTACTTTCTATTCTACAATCTGTGTGTGTAAACAAGTCAAAAAAACATTCTTTTTAGCTTCTTGTTTCTTGTGGTTTTCTGTATTGTGCTTGTTTCACCACACAGTGTATCCTTCTATGACATCATTTTCCTGACAAATACAAGAGTAAACACAACAGATTACTACACATTTTTCAACTGCCACTATCTGTAAGTCAATACGTGTACTTACACTAACCTGGATGGTATAGCCTTCTAAACACCAGGCTGTACAGGGTATTGCTCTGGGGTACAAACCTTTCCTATACATTGCTGTTTTAGAAGCAATTGTGACACAGTGATAAATCCTGTGTATCTAAATACAGAAAAGGTACAGTAAAAATATGTGAAAAAAACTTTGCACCTCCTTGAAATCTTCTGGGACCACCATAGTATATGTAGTCTGTCATTGATTGAAACATGTAGCATTTAACTTTACAGATTTTTATATGCTATATTATTCTGCCTTAATATTTCAGTTGTTCATAAAACTTTTTGTACCAATTTTAGGCATATTGTTTGCTCTACTTTTTACTTCACTGAAAATTTTCAAAACTTTTAATGCTCATCCAACCATTAAATTTCCATTTATGATCATGATGCACTTATAATTCACTGATATCAGTATTACTATTAACCTGGAAGTAGACATTCATCAATCTAAACTATCTGGAACATATATTTTACCCTAGAGATATAAATTGGATGGGAGGACCGGGTATTTAGCTCAGTGGTTCTGCTGCCTGCCTCCCAAGCACAAGGTCTTGAGTTCGATCCCTAGTACCCAAAAATAAATAAATAAATAAATTGGATGGGAAAAATTATAACTAAATAAGCAACAAATATTAATCTATAGAGATGCTACAGAAACAACATAGGCAGTCCCTGAAAGTTTACTGACAAACAGACTTTGTTATCCATAAAGAGAACAGCAAGTGAGAAACAACAAATTAGAAACAGCAAGTTATAAAAATGAGGAGACATTTGAACTAGACACATTAAGAAAAGTAACTTGGAACTATAGACAGGAATAGGTAGAGACAAGAACTTTAATGACTACTGAGTGACCTGGAACTGTTTAATGTGGAGAAAGGGTAAAAATTCACAGATCTCATAAAGACTTTGACAGCATCACTATTGAGTCAGTTTATCACATTATTGAATGGCTATGTTTCATATGTTCTTCGTTGTAACACTAATAATTTTTTTCACATCTAACAATACTATGAGAGAAGTCATATTATTATACCTACTGTATAAATTAGAAAACAGAGGTAGAGGCTATTACATAAACTCCCCAAGATTATACAACTAAGAGATAGGAGAGCTTATATTTGATTACTATAATATATTTAGTAGGAAAGAAAGTATAAAGTATATGTTAGAGTTTTCTCAAAAATTTAAAATAAAATTTTGGTAGTGAAAGAGCTAAGCTTCATTTATCCAGAAAATATCACATTTTCTATTTCTGTATGGTCAGTTGAAATGGTTATTTTCCCTAGCTCCTTCTGAATTCACCTGCTTTTCCGTTCAACACAGACTTAATAATAACAGCAAACTATTTCCATGTAATAACTTAAAATGTGTCCAAATCTTACACTAAATATTTTACATTAATCATCATTCAATATTATATAATTGTTCAAAACAACCAGTATTTAAAAATGCATAATTTTTTTTCTGAGTATAGAAGTAATTCTTTGTTCCTGTAGAAACTTATGAATAAAAAAGTGAAAGAGGGGGATTTAAAAAATTACATTATTTCATCATAGTTTGGGATGATTTTCTTTCTTTCATGATTATTTTTAATCCAACAAAGTATCATACTTATATTTTCCATATAGTGTCATATTAAAAATAACTTTCCCTGCTATTAAAATATCATCAAGTCATTATAAGGACATACCAGACTTTTTACTTAACACTCCTATATTAAAAAGTCTTCCAGCCTTTGCTATGATGCTGTAGAAACTATGTGAAAAAGTATTTTTTGTTTGTTTGTTTGTTTTTTAACAGCACTGGTGATTGAACTCAGGGTCATCACATTGAGCTACATCCCTAATCCCTAGCCCTTAAAAAAATTTTGTTTTGCTTTTATTTTGAGATATCGTCTTGTTAAATTGCTAAATTTAGCAATTTTGGCTAGGCTGAAACTTGCAATCCTCCCACTTCAGCCTCCCAAAGTGATGGATTTACAATCGTGGGTCACCACACCTGGCTTATTTTTTTGTTGTTTATTTACTTTTACTATGAAATCTATCTAATTTTTCCACTATAGTCTTGACAAGGTCTGTACATTTTACACTCCTATCAGTAAGCTATGAGAGTTCTGGCTGCTGGATAGCCTCATCAATATTGGTATTACCAGTCTTTAAAATGTTAGTTCTTCCAATTACACTGTCTTCCTATGATTTTAAAATTTCCCTGGTTCAACTGACAGTTGAAATCTTTCATAGGCTTATTGGCTATTCAAATGTCTTTCTTTGTGATGTTCCTATTCAAGACTTTGATTTTGTTGTTATTGTTGGATAACAAACTTTTGTTATGTAGTTGTAGAAATTTTAAAATACATTTTAGATAGTCCTTTATCATAAGTAGATATTATGAATATTTTGAGCATGTGATTTTTCTTTTTTAAATGATATCTTTTGATGATCAGAAATTTAATTTACTTGTAGGACAATTTATCATCTTTTCCTTTTATTGTGATTTCCTTTTGATTGCTAAGTAATCACTGTCAACCTTCTAATAATGAAAATGTTATTCTTTGTTGTCCTTTAGAAGCTTTCTAACTTTTAAGCTTTCAATTTTAGGTCAATCATTCATGTCAAGGTAATTTTTGATTATAGCATGAGGTGGAGATTAAGGTCCATTTTCCTCCTCAAATGCCTGCCCAAGTATTCCATGATTATTTTTTAGAAGGTTTTTTTTTCCCTTACTTCATTGTTTTTATAGATGCCATACATATGTGGGTCTATTTCTAGACTTTCTATTCTCTAATTATTGGTTTATTAATTTTATTATCACACTATCATAGTTAATGTTTTACAGCACCTCTTGAAATCAGGTAGAGAAATACTCCAACTTTTTTCTTCTTTTCCAAGTGTTTTTAAATTATCATGGATCCTTCATATTTCTGTATAAATTTTAAAATCATTTTATTAATTTCTGTAAAACTTATGCCAGATTTTTGGATTTTCTCTCTCTATATTTATACATGATAAACATTTTTAAAAATTGAATCTTCCAATCCTTAAATATTGTATTCCTTTCCATTTAAATGAATTTTTTAAAATTTCCTATCACTATATTTTGTAGACTTCAAAATGGAGGTCATGTATGTGGAATTCTTTGGTTTTTATTTACTTTTTGATCTTCTGCCTAATCTTTTATCCATTATTACAAGCAACATATTGCAATTTCAATCAATTGTTGAAATGTCTTTTGCTCCCTTTGATTCCAGCTATTTGTGTATTTTGTAAGTCTTGTAAGGTACATATATGTTTATAATTGTTATATCTACTTGGTTTATACATTCTTATAAAGTCCCCTTTAATACTAGTAACATTTTTTTAAAAGTCTATTTTATCTCATGTTGGTTACTAAATATTTGGATGATTTTTAAAAAAATGTATTTTATGGTACTGGGGATTAAACCCAGGGCCTTATGTATTCTAGGCAAGCAGTCTAGCTACATTTCCAGCCTTGTTTGCACAATCTTTTCTTATCCTTCTACTTTCAACTTATTTGTATCTTTGAATCTAAAGTGTGTCTCCTACAGATAGCATAAACATGAATCTCAATTAAAAAAAATTTGGTCTCACAATCCATGTCTTTTGACTGGATTATACAATCCAGCAATACTTAATGTTATTATTGATATATTTGTATTACATCTATCATTTTCCTTTTGGTTTCCTAATGCTTCATTGCTGTTTTGTTCTTCTAGTCTGCTTTTATTTAGTTGTTTGGCATTAAGTAATTATTTTTAAGTGTAAAATTTATATCCTTTATGTATCTTTCACAATGTGTTTTGTAGTTATCCTAGTGATTGGTGTAAGACTTTCCATATATAACTTCACATATCATAATTGACTTCAGAAAGATAGTAGCATAATTCCAGTGAGATATAGAAACATTACTCTTTAAGAGCTCTATTCCTTCTGATATGCTATTGTTAGTATACATATCTACATACATAAAAAACCTATAAAACATTATATAAATTATAATTATTAGCTAATATAAGTCTATGCTTTTTATAAAAATTAAGAGTAAATATATATATTTATTGCCTTATGATCTGGTGTCATTTGCTTAATCAAATACAACTTTGCTCCTCCTACCTTCTTTATGCTACTATTGACAAACATATTGCATTTCTATATGTTACAGATGCCAGTATAAATTGCAATATGTTGTCAATAGTGGTATAAATATATATATATATATATATATTTACTACCTTATGATCTGGTGTCACTGCCTGTTTGTTTAGTGAC